ATTAATGTAAGTATCAATTTGTAAAATTGACAATACAATGGCAGTGAAAGATAACTCTACATGTGGAGGACTTTACTACTCTGATCATTTGAAATGCATGCAGTGGTGAAATTGTAATAATCCAAAGAGAGCAGAGCTCTTCCTTTGTTGTTTATAATGTGTTGTGTGTGTAACTGTCAGTGAGCAGTGTCTGTGAAGCTAGAAATAAGATAATCATGAGTGTGTGACAGATATCAGTGCTGTTCAGGGTTTGGCAGCTTTATGTGCTGTTCTGAACATGCATTGATATCCGGATTATTTACATTGACAGAGGTCAAAATTCTAAAAGAATGTCCCAGGCAGGGACAGTGATAATTATTGGGGGCCGTCAACGCTAAAGTTTCACAACACACAACACTAGGAGAAGGCATAGTCTTTTTGTGACCTTTTGCCCCGGCTTTCCCATGGTTCCTTGTGTTCCAGGTTCTCCCTCTGGACCCGTCACACCAGGTTGGCCCTAAAATATACAAAATATTTTTGGAGCTTTTGCTCATACGGCCATCTTTATCTGTCTAAAAAAATGTTATTTTGCAGAGTTCCATGCTCACACTGTTGCACATGCATGAGTGTGTTACACTGTACCTTGGGTCCTCTGGGTCCTCTGCAGCCCTTTAAACATAAACACCATTATAGTGTACTGTGAATGAGTATGGAGAAAGGTAGCCTTCATTTTCTGAATTTTACTACTTTAAAATACACATGCAGTTCATTAAAATAATCAATTCTTGTTTTATAGTGCCACTGATAACCAAGGTCTGTCGTACCTTCTCCCCTTTCTTTCCTGTGATGTGTTCCGTTATATCGACCTGAGGAGTTAAAGGCAAATGAGCGGGATTTTATTTTAAGTCATGCACGTGTTTAACCCATTGATACATTTGGATTTTTTAGAACTGGTTTGCATTTCTACTTTAAAGCCTTGATGTGCAGGATTTAAAAAAGTTCACACATTGGCCCTTCATAGAGGTATCATTAAAAAAAACAAGAAATCCATGAAGGCTCTACACAGAAGGGGTCAACTCCAATGCTCTCTTGATACAGCAACGCTCTTTTGTATGAATAGGGGTGTGTGTGTGTGTGTGTGTGTTCACCATCAGCTCTGCTTTCCGTTTGACTGGAGGAAACAAAGGAGGTGGAAGAGGAGGAGGGATGAAAACTTCACATTTCGGAGCTGACCACCTGCTGTTTCTGCTAGACGGAAATCCTACAGACAGACAGAAATAAATGACACTAACTGAAACAATATTGTGTACATACAGAACAAACACATTTGTCAACACAACAGGCTGCATGTTTATTGAGAGTGGGATGTCTTCATGACTGTGATTCAGTGTTTTTATTGTAACACCTACTCTTCATAGGTATTACTTAAATCTTGACCCTGACAAATACCCCCCATATTATTATTTAATAAAACCAACGCTAACACTGAAACTGAAACCAGCAAACCCACTGTGATTTACTCATGCAAATGCTACTACTGATAAATACTGTAGGCCCCAAACACATCCAGACCACACTTTCCTCGTTCTCCTCAGCTGCTGCGGCAAACTAAAGACTGTAGCCCTTCATCACCATAATGTCACCATGTAACTGCTCGTCAAAAGCAGATGTTGCCGGGCTAAGCAATGCTGAGGACAGGTGTGCAGCTGTTAAAGAGCTGCTGTAGCGCTATGGGTATCTGATGGGTTCAAGTTAAACCATCAGCAAGAGCTCTTAAGTTTTGCAAGTGTGCTATATAAATAAATGTATGATTATATTTATTATTATTATACTTATTATAATAATTCTTATTCTTATTCTTAAGTGGCAACTTCACAGCTAATTACAGCAGCACCCGGCTTGGATGGGCAGGTATAATTAAATGACCTCTGACTGTTTGTACTTACTGGTTGTGACAGTGGGAGCAGCCGGCTGGAGGCCGCTGAGCAAGGCAGTCCATCCTAAAACCAGCTGAGTCAGCATCTCCTCTTTTCCTGCAACAACAGCTGAATGTTGAAAATCAATCAAAAAAGCAAATACATCAATATAATATAACACATGAACATTACATGTCAGAGGACCCTACTTCAACAGATTGAACTCCAGCAACACTGCTAGAACAGGAGCTCCCAAAACTTTTTCCCTTGGAGGGCCAAAATGTAAACTCAGTGGTGGGCTACGGGCCAAAAGCGAACACATACTGTGTTGTATTGTTAAGATGCAAAATGATAGCAGGATCCCAAGTTCTCTTAATTGACTGACTTCCTGCACAAAGTGTCACCCTGTGCTCAGAGTATTAAAACATATTCATGAATAGGGATCTTACATAATTATATAACCTTCACCTCACAAAAACAGCATATACCGCATAACAGTGATTTATATTATAATTTCTAGGCTTAATGTATTTTTTCACTGGAAACATCTGTCAAATGAAAACGCATGGCGGGCCACCTTTGGCCCACAGCCCCAATCTAGAACAACTCTGACAAACATGTCGGCTCGTGGCCTTGATCAGGGTCATCATGATACACATTACAAACATTTAAAATAGGGTAGGTATTAAACAGGAAAAAACAGGTAAAAGAACATAAAAGACAACCAGTCGTGTAATTCCACACACAAATCTTCACTTCATCTCAGTGAATCAGACTGATCAGTTTCTTGATTTATAACCACTGACAGTAACGGACAGCAGCAGGAGGATGCATTACAGGTGGGATACATTATTGTTTGTGTACTGTTGTGCATGTACAGGCTAGATAAATACCGACTTTTCCTAAAAACGGGGAGTTCATTCAGACAGATTTAGAACTTGTTCCAGTCATGCTTTGATAAATAAAAGCTTCATCTGCGCCTGTTGCGTCTGTCAGTGCAGTGAGAACATGCCTGCTCTGCAAAACACAGATTACAAATCTCCCGTTCAATCTTTAAATGTAATTCCACTTGTTTACAGTTTGTATATGTCAGAATTTTAGTTTTTATTCCTGACATAAGGCAGAAAGAGACCCACCACTCCACTGTCAACAAGGTAGATCTGTTTTTTTAAAGTCCTCATGCACAGTGATTTGCATTGAATTTACAATAAGTATTGACAGCCAAAGCGATAAATGACATAATCAGCCTCCAGAGCAGAATACTTCAAGATTACAATCACCATTTCTGAATTATCTATGAATTATCTGAATGTTTGGAAAAACACACTCAAAAAGATCTGAAATACTGATCCTGACATGTAATAAACAGAAGTGTTTAATTGTCCTGCTAAATCTGGCACAGATGCTTCAGATAAGAGTGTTTACATGCACTGTAATCTGCGTCTTACCTCAGTGCCGTCTCTTCGCAGCGCCGTGTGGGAGCTCTCGTCCTGCAGTGGGAGACGTCTCCTCCTGGTCTCCGTCCAGCAGAGCTCAATCTGCTAAGCTTGCACGCTGAGCCCGACTTATCTCAATAAACTGTGGAAATGCAACGCAGCCTCTGGCAGCGCTCTGCAGGAATAATCAGATAATTACTTACACACCGAGCCAAAGAGAAGCCGGCTCATCAGGCCCCGCTGCAGGGGATGGAGCAGTGAAAGCAGTCGGTGGCACCTTCTGTCATATTGTATTATATTATCATTACTGTATTTCCACTTACAGTTTTAGGCTTTTGGCCCAGTTCCTCACAGCAGTCACAACTTCATCTTATACTATAAACTGATGCCTTCACAGGGAGCTAGAAAAAGCCATGACGACAAGTGTCAAAGGTCCGTGCTACATCTGTCTCTCAGTGCTTTATGTATTAAATGAGAACTGTTGAAAGAAATACGGCTCAGCTAATGAAATCTATCACCAAACCCACTCTACTTCCCATATCTCATACAAATGGAAAGAGTGAGCGCCTTGCTTTTGCTTACCTTCAGTAGTTTTACAGCAGTGCAGCAAGTTCAGAGCTTAAAGTGTACTTCAGTACACTGTGACATCACTACTGGGGCACGGTCAGAGGTGCAACCGGCTGCAAACTCAAACCAGAGCGACGCAGTGCCTGCTTGGACGAGATTTCCACTTCCAACTGAATTTACCAGAGGACGATGCTTAGGTCATCTTGAAATCTCTGTAGCAGATCGAATTGGGATTTGGGTGCCGCAGGAACCAGAGCATGGAGACCAAGTCAACCAATTAATTTTAAGTGAGTGTGTTTTTACAAAACAGCAGCAAGTATGGTACTTGTAAGGTACCAACATCTTACCCTGATTACACTACAGAAAACCAGATTTCTTGTATGAGATCTTCCAAAATGACTTTCATAGTGGGGATTTTCCTCCTGGAGTTCCACTGCAGCTCAACATGGAATCAGTGCATGAAAAACTAAAGACCAACTCTGAAAAGATCCCCGCTGGACTGGACTCCCTCACACTGCCAAAGCATTGCACGCGGTTGTACAGAAGGTGGATTTTGTCCCCCATCACTTACATTAAAATCACTTCAGGAAGGGATCTCATTCCTGTTCATACTGATCGAAAGCTCCGTAAGAACAGGAATGATTCCAGCAGAGACAACCTGTTTAAATGTAGATATAAGCATATGACTACTGCAGGAGTACTGAAGGTTTCAACAGGTTAGATTTTAGAACACTAATGAAGCAATTTAAGACTTATTTACATCCATACTGGCAAAAAATAAATGTATCAAGGAAAGTTAGTATTGGTTGCATGCTGGTTTGGTTTTGTAGTTACAGCATGATCGATACAGATCTGTCCAAATACACATTTAAAGACTCAAAAATGCAACTTCTTTTTGGAATTGCATTTTAAGGCCTAAATCTGATCTGATTTTCGGATCTTAGACTTTTTAGGACCCCATAGACACCCTGTATTTTTTTAAGACACTTGAAAAAATGTTGAACGTCAGGATTTTCTTTAGTGCCCCTTACCAAAACTGGGTGTATGTGGAAAAATCTATCACGTAGAAGCAAATAAAAAGCTTAAAAATGTAATTGCGTGTACAAAATGATAATTTCTGTCTTTTATTGAAGTACTTAAAACCACAAATAAAGACCGAAGTGCAGACCGTCTACTATAATCTACAATATGCTTCATGACCTTAAAAATGCAATAAGACATTAAAAGTGAAATGACAGAAAGGGTTTAAATGCTACAAAATATACAAAAAGGACTGAGGAGTTGTAAACAGCCCAAAGACAGGCACATGGAGGAAAGTAATGAGAGAAAACGTATGTACAAAACTGGAAGGCATGTGGAGGAGAATAATGTTATTTGTCTTTTACATACATGTGTAGTCTTACATCAGTCCTTTATTACAAAGTCTACAGAGGACAGCAGGAAAAAAGCCATCCACGTCCAGAAAACTATAAAAAAAAAAAATAAAAAAAAGAATCACTTTCTTCTTTTGACACAGCTTAAAAAGAGTTACTGTGCTTCCCTTTGAGTATTTCATAAAAGCGTATAAACTACCCGACAGCTCAAGCTAGAAATGAAAACAAAAAGTGCTGCTAGCATTTATTAAAAACACTAAGTGTAAAAAAACTAAATAAACACACAAGGTGAGTCAAGGCCAAGGCATTCAGAGTTAAAACCATAAAATCTTCCTTTGTTAAATCTGTTGATTTAACACGTCTACACAAAGCCTGGGTGGATAAAAGTTTGATGCTCTGTTGCAGATTCAGTCTTTTTATGTGCCTTTTACAGCTGTGGTGCAGAGGTCTCTTCAGGGTTTGCCATCCATCTGGCAGAGGCGGGACTGCAGCTCGACGACCACGCGCCTCATCATGCCTCCTAACTGATCGTGCATCTGAACGAGCTGCTGTGGCGAGCAGTAGCTGAGTTCCGATGGGGTCATCCTGCGGGTCAGGACTGCCACCTCTGACAGCAGCCCTTCGGGGTGCAGCTGTCCTTCAGGTCTCTGCTCTGCTGCCGGCGCGTCGGCCGTCTGATCCCCAGAACCGCCTTGCTCCGGAATCCCATCCGCGGGAGTGGGCTCGTCCACCAGCTCTGTCGCTGCAAACAGAAAGACATTTACAGCACGGTTAGTGTGTCATTGATGTGGCAACAGATTGAAAGAAAGTAAATAAGCTTACGTCCCACAGAAACACAAGCTGAACGAGCCTTTACACACCTAGTGTCTCGCCTGAGGTCTTATCCTCCTCATCCAGGTTTTGAGGAGCACTGGTCTCCTCCAGTTCAGAGGTCATCATCTCGGTTTCATCGAAACTCTTCAACTCATCCCCACCTCGTCCTTTACGCTACAAGAGAATTGTTCACGTCAAATAATATACCTTCTACGAACATATTTATCATTTGTGTTTGTGCGACCTCTGTTCTGTCGGCGTACCTGTTGTTCATAGATTTTAAGTGCCTTTTTGACGTTGGAGACCTTCGGGGAGCGAATTGGCAGAGTCTTGATCTCGGTGGGAGTGAGAGCGCTGAGGTCGCCAACTGTTTTGATGTTTCTGGCTCGAACAAGCTGCCCAAAGCCTCGAGACCTAGGAGGAGAATCAACAGCGGTAACAAACAGATGCAGCTGATGAGACAAGAATGTTTTCATTCAGGCGTTACATAGATCTAAAAACAGATCCATATTTGAGAAAATATTTTCAGTAACACTGTGCTGTACTCACCACATGTTGGAGGATATCTGAGGCAGCACGGCTTCTACAGGTGTGGAGCAGCCAACCAGGGGAGGGTAGATACAGTCTCTGGAGACAGGTCGCGGCTCTTGGCTCATTTCAGAAATCTGGAAAAAGGGTTGCCTTTACCATTAGGACCAATAGCCTCTAGCACAACTGTTACTGTTTCACTTTGGGTCACAGTTAATATTTTTATATTAAAACTGAATCATATGAAAATGTGTATGTGGATGTGACTTGCAGTGATGCACCCATGGAGAATTATCCAGTACTGCAGTTCTATGACGCACTTTAGCCAGCTACGCACCATTTTAACTTAGAGGCAAGTGTCCTGGCTTTACATAACAAAGTCTGTTTCACAGGCCCTGGGGAGTACAAAGCCTTTTGTACAGATGTCAACGCACCCAAGATGCATTGCGAACGCAGAGATAGCTCAGACCACAGGGGATGTTTGGACCACATGAGACCACATTTTTTATATAGACCACATCTATATGGATCGTGTCCTTTTAGTACACAAAAAAACAAAAACAAAAAAAAAAACACCCATTTGATTTCCATTTGGTTCACTGTAATGCAAATGACGCATTTGGGCTCTCTTACCTGCCAAGATAAGCAGCAGATGTTTGTGAACACTGTTTCAACGGATTTCAACATTCAACTAGTAACCACAATATCTCCCATAGTAGACAATAGTCCCTTTGCGCAATTTTGAGAGTTGTTGAGTGAGGAGAAGCTTTACAAACTTTGTCAAATGTTGTCTACAACAAATTCTTCATTGTTTGGGCTTTCTTGTAAATTTGGCAAATGTTATATGCACGCTTTTGTTAAACTTTCTATTAAAAGACAGCTAAAAGAAGGGGCGCCATGATAGCTCACCTGGTAGAGCTGGCACCCCATGTAACAAGGCTGAGTGCTTGCTGCAGCAGACCATGAACGTCTATACAAACTGTTAGGGCCATCCAATATTTGCTAAAATATCCTACCAAAGTGGTGGACTGGCATTGCCTTCCCTGGAGCCACGCTGCTAGCATGACTAAAAACCCCATTACACCACCTGCCCTGCACATTAGTGATTAGCAGCTAAAGCGCCAGATATTTCCTACAGAAGCCAGCGTAAGGCAAACCAGAGGAGAGCAAATACTGGACTTGTGGATGACTGCAAATGAATATCAATGTTGATTAGTGTCTGCTGGATGTTTAAAAGAAGTCATTCAGTGTGTTTTTCATGTTAGCCAAGGTTGTGTCAGATTGCTCCCCCAAAGAAAACAGATGCTAATTTCTACTTTCTGTGCTTACCAGACATTTCTTGGAGCTCTTGTAACCTGGACTGTGCAGATTTCTGGGACTCAGGATCAGCAAGCCCTTCGTTGGAGTAGTAACATACTAGAATAAGTAGCAGAGGAGTGTCATGTTAAATCGAAGCAGATTATTTGAAGAAAAACGGTGGTTCATGTCGATGAGAAATATGGCAACGGCTGGCCTCATTCATACCTTTGGCTGTGGGATACTGCTAGTTTTGGATCTTCTGGGGGAGCTGGTTCTGATGGCAGGGCTCCGACGATCAATGTCGTCTGCGGTTTCCTGCCGTTGGATTGGATTGGCAAAAGATACACGCCTGGACTGCAAGTTAAAAGAACAAAGTTAATTTCATCCACATTAAACAAAAAGTTGTGAGTTTTGACAAAGTAAATTTTTTGTCACTTACTTTGACAAGAGGTGAGGGAGTCTCATCCTCTAGTGGTCTCTTCTGGCCCTTCTTAAGAATACTGGTTGATGGAGAGGCTGAAGGAGACCAGGTTCCTCTGGTCCTGCCACTACTGGGACTTTGGCCAACATCTAGCCCCATTACAGCCTCCAGGTCCTTCTGCTTCGCTGGAGAACCCTGGAAAATGTCTTTGCTTGTCGATTCTGATAACACAGAAGCATCATCAACAGGCAGCGCAGCAACCAAATTTGCGACATTGTTCTCAGCATTGGTGGTCTGAGTTTCCTCTTCTTCCTGACACTCCATGATCTGGGTTTTGTAGTCTTTATCGCTCTCTTGTAGAGGCGGGATGTCGTCCCCAGCACTGGCCTCTGTGTGCTGGTTGGGCGATTCATCTTCTCTAATGGAGGCAGACCGTTCCTCCTCCTCCTCCTCCTCCTCCTCCTCCTTTGAAAGTTCATCTATGATATTTGGACACTCCATCTGGTTGTGTCCAAAAGCAGTGCTTTGACTGTCTACAGCCATGTCCTCTACAGGAACAACTGGATGTTCCTGGTGGTTTGAATCTGAATCATTATTTTGTTTTTCTATAACTCCGTTGCCAGGCTCAGACACTTCTGCTTTCTCCTCTGAAGACTCTGAGGCTTGCAGTTTCTCTGTTGTCTCATTAGAAGGCGACAGCTTGTCCACAGAAGGTAACACTGATGGGTCACAGTCCTCTTGATTCTGTTCAGTACTGATCCCAACTGATTCAAGCATTTCAGCAGATTGCAAGTCCCCAGTGTCACTTTCTTCTAAAGAGGAGTTTGTTTTAGAGTCCTTTTGGCTTTGCTTCTCTTTGCAAGGTGACACACTGAGTGAATTATTGTCCTTTGAGTTTTCAGTGTCAGTTTTCTCTTCCACAGCATCAGCCTCTACCTCAGTTGGGGATTCTTTGTTACTTTGCTCCTCAATGTCACAGATCTCGTGGAGTGACTCAGAACTCTCCAAAACTTGGCTTTTCTTTAAATCTTCTAAATCTGTAGAATTTTTAGTGTCTATGCTTTGTGTCTCTGCCTTTTGAGAAGAAGCACTATCATTCTTAAACATTTCATTACTAATTTTGTCTTCTTTAGACTTGATGGTGAGAGGACTTTGAAGAGATGCTCGAGGTTTTCTCCCCCGCTTTTTGGGCATAGGAGAATTTTCTCTGGCTTCTGAGGATTCAGACTCAGAGGATTCTACATTGGCTACTAATGCTTGAGAAGATCTTCGTCTTGAATATCTGCCCCTGCCTTGGGAGGACTCTGTTGATCCAGCAAGATCTAATGACTGAGAACTCTCTGGAGTTGAGAAAGGACTTGACTTTGACTGCTCCTCTTGTACTTTGCTCCTTCTGGTCCTACCTCCAATTGTTGTTTCTGGATGACCGGCAGCTGACAATGTTGTCTGGGAATTTGACCTACTCTGCCTTCCTAATGAATCCTTATTTTCGCTTTTATCTTCAGTCTCAGATGATGCCTTGCTTCTTCTGGATCTACGCCGAGACTGGCTATCAGAAGATGAGGGTGTGATCACTTGAGAGTCCTCTTGACTAAGGTTCTCATCTGTACTCTCTTTTGACTTGTGTTTGTTTTTGACCTCCGCTTCATTAACCAACTTGTTTGTTGGGCTTTTTCCATCTTGGGACTCATTAGTTGAAGAAGCAACTATCTGAGAATCTTTTTCCTTTTTGGTCGTTTCAATAAGCTCAGACTCTTGGGATTGGTCGCCAATCTGAGGAGAAGCAGTGACCATTTGAGAATCTTTTTTTGGCTTATCATCATCCTCCTTTTCAGTCTTTTCTACAAGTTCAAAATCTTGGGATTTCCCACCAGTTTGAGAGGAAGGAGTGACAATTTGAGAATCTTTATTTGAGTCATCTTTTTCAGTCTGTTCTGCAAGCTCAAGCTCTTGGGATTTTCCACCAGTCTGAGAGAAAGGAGTAATAATTTGAGACTCTCTCTTTGGCTTATCAGCCTTTCCAGCCTGTTCAACAAGCTCAAGCTCCTGTGTGGCAGTTTGGCTGGACTCTTTGTCAGACAAAAGCCTTTTCTTTATTCCACCTTCCTCCTTGGTCTCCAATGATGATTTGCTCAACCGACTGGGTCTACCCTGCGACTGGCTTTCACAATCAGATTGTGTGCCTGACCGCAAGTCAGTTTGGCTGGACTCTCTGGTGCTTCTTCTTCTGGGTTTAGGTTTATCAAGAAACTCTTCTGAATTGCTGTACAGTTTGATCTTCTTGTGAGCTCTACCCTGAGAATTGGTTTGGCTTGACTCACTCTTGTCCCTCTGAGCCCTTGTTCGCAATCTGCCACTGTCTTCCTCAGCAGCCTGCTTACTTCTCGTGTTTGGTTTGCTTTGCATTGAATTTGACTTTGGAGAATCACCTTTAGGTTCCTCTCCAGAACGCCTCCTTTTGAGCAGCACGTATTTCTCTTCCCGTTCCTCAGGGTCCTCTCCAGGCAGCAGAGGTCTGACTCTCGAGCGTCCAGAACGTCTGGGTTCGCTTAGAGAAGTCTGGGAGGATTGAGAATCATCCAGAGTGTGTTCAGATTCCTCTTCCTGGCTTGATGGTTCCTCCGGTGTGGAGGCCGTTTTTGTACTCTCCTTTCCCTCCACTTCAGTCTGGGTGTCTGGAATAACATCTTCATCCTCTGTTGTGTCACTGGGCATTCTCTCAGTCAGCCTTACTGGCCCACATTTCATCCCAGAGTCTTTTGGCCTTAGAGGGGACTCAGGGGCATCATTCATGGGACACTCCGAGTTCCCTTTTTCTGAGGACCGAGAATCCTGTGAGTTTGGACCAGTAGATGTCCGGGACCCGTGAGAGGAAGAGGTCTTGTTGGTGTTTGAGCGTTCTTGGCTATTGGAGGTCTTTATGAGGGGACCTGTGAATGAGGATGCACTGCTGGGGCTGGCAGGCTTTCCCTCAGAATACTTCTCCAGAGTGATAAAGGACTGACGGCGACTGTTGGGTTTCTGGGGAGTCCCAGAGACCAAATCTGAAGAGCCAGAGAGGTTAGGACTTGTGCCTTCTTTAGGCTGCACGTCCATGTCTGCCACTTTGTCATCACTCTTGGCATCATCCTCCATAGAAACATCTGCAGACTCAGGGATCATCTCCTCTTGCTCTGGGTTTTCGGTCAGGTTCTCTTCTGCTTTTGGGCTGGCATAGTCTTGAGTCTCTTTTGTTAGAACTTCAGTGTCTTCCTCATCGTCAACATCTTCCTGAGGAACCTGAAAGAAACCAAAGCAAGAAACTAAATCTGTCTGCAAGAATATAGAAAGACATTAGATGAGGGCAATAATACATAAAATAAGAAATCTGTTTGTAAAGCATTAGTGAATTAATACATTTTCAGTTAAAGTGATAAAGAAGATTTCCCTTTTCTTTTCTTTCTAAATGCCATTCAATGTTTCAGTGCTACAAAATTAATTTAAAACAAAAATATTCTCATTAACAGTGACTGGTATTAAAGTGTTTTAAATGCAATGTCACTCAAGTAACATTAATTTTATTAATCCAATCAATTTTTAAAGAGCTGGCAAAATCATATTTAAGAAATTGTAAAGCCTAAAATTCAGATGATGGGAGCACGTTGTGTAGACATTGGCAGTCTGAACAGTTTAACTTTATGATAATTTAAACCAGCAGTAGCTCCAACTGTGAGGACACTGAAGCAGACCCAGAACATACCGGAGAGATTACACATCTGGACTTGGACAGCTCAGGATCCCACAGGACAAGCTGAAAAGGGTGGTTGGGGACACAGACATCTGGGCTACCATGGTTTGCCTGCTGCTACCCCAATCCGGAACAAAATAAGCACCGGAAATTGAAAGATGGATGATCTGCTTTCTGCTATATGTATTAGTTTATAAGTACTTAAACATTTTTATGGGTATCTTTTCTGGTGTCACCTTTTGAATTATTGTGTCATTTTGACACTGGTATACAGCAAGTCTACAATTGAGCTTTTTTTTTTTTTTTTTTTTTTTTTTTCTAAATTTTATATCCACAAAAATGTCAGAACAGAAGGGTACAATTTACTCTGAAAAAGTCATTTGAGTTGGTGGCAGTTCGGTCGGTGGACGTATAGATTTGTGAGTATACTGGACAAATGTCTGATGTCTGAGGGAGAAAACACAAGTCCTTGCCACTGGCTACAATTAATTGCTCCCTAATTAATGTCTTTAACTGTTATTGGATTTAGTTTTGGGCATAGCTGATAAGCTAATGTGAAGTTTTGGGCAGGTGAAGTCCTCAGTCTAGAAGTTTGTAACTAAAATGCAGGTTACAATCGACATATCAGTTGAGAGCAATCATGTGCTAGTTTATGGGCAGCTAGGACAGCCTATTAAATTTGGTGATATATTGATCCTAATATGACCTTGCAGTGTATGGGTTCCCCCTGATATTTCGCTAGTGGCCATAGTCATCGGGTTAACTATGTATTTATATTGGTGAACCAGGATAACCTTCACCTAGCTGAACATCTGTATGTTACTAATTGACATGGTGCCTGCCCCACCGTTGTCACTCCGAACATTGCGTATAACTGAACCTGCCATCCACTAGAGGATACCCGTGTGAGTGGTCAACGTTTTGGCTCTCATGAACGTGAAAAGTAAATTGGTTTATATGGTACTTGTATTAGCACCTTTCTAGCTCTGACCACATCAAAGCCCTTTTACACTGACATTGGCCACATTCGCCCTTTCGCGCGCGAGGCGGAGTTCACTCAGTGAGTGGCAAAGTCCATCTTGAACAGATAAAAATATTCCATTCACACCCCCGATGCATACAGCATCAGAGAGCAACTTTTGGGGTTCGTATCTTTCTCAAGGATGCTTCACAATGCAGTGGGTAGGAGCTTGGGGATAGAACCATCCAACACCTTTCAATTACGCCGGACAACCCCACCTACCACCAGCCTGAGCCAACAAGTCTCTGCCCCCATGGTATCGGTTCAAAGTGTGAATTTAAGTTAAGATAAGTTGTTTTATTTAGTTACTTGAAGCTTAAACAGGGGGTTTTGCACATCATCGATTGGCAATCAGCTGCAGCACTGCCGGCGGGATTGAGGCTCCAAATGATGTCACCAGTGCAAGATGGCATGTGGCCAAATACAACATATTTTGGGCTTCACTTGTGAAGTGGAGGACGCATCGTCTGTC